ACCATTCGGGTTAAAAAAATGGATTCAAGTAATTCCTCCCAGATAACTAGGTGACTGCAATGACCTTACTACTCTAAGACCTCGGTTAGTGGAATAAACAGAGCTTTAAGAGTCTCCGATTGCTCTTTGTCGTTTACTAAAACCCTATGATTAGCACCACCGGATTAGTGAAGCAGATAGTTGAGGAATGTAGTGATCCAAATACGGATGTAAAACCAGGCCATAGGACAAGGACAGGTCGCGCAATATTACTGAATCTGGAGACAGAGAATCGCCCCCGAGGCGATTGCTGACACTGCTCATAAAATCTTATGTACATACAAGCACCTTGAAGAACAATTGAACCACCACTTTTGGCTAGACATTCTGGTCGAAGGTCAAAAGGGCGATGACAGTAAGAACCACATAGTTTATGCAATAAACATCAGCAAGCACCCCTGCATTTTCAACTATATTGTACAAAATAGCTTGAGGCCTCAGCTAAAATCCGGAGTTAATCTTGTTGAATGTTTAATGATAAGCGCTTATTAGTAGAGTGGAATATGATTTTGCCTTTTAACAATCATTTTAACTGAAACACTCCTAAAAATCGCCTAAAATTTACATCAAACCGCGGATGTCGCAAAATGACCACCAATTTACAAGTAACGCCATCTTAATTGGCGTCCGAAGCCCGTTTAAATAAATCATGCCAAATTAGTAAAAATGCAAGAGGCGCAAGAATTCAGCTTATACAATTTAGTCATTAAAAGCTGATTTTCTTTAAAATTTAAGCAGTAAAATTCATCATAATTTTAAATGCACTCTTCAATAGTTTCAGACAAATTTTTGGACTCATAAACAATCTATTAGCAAACATATTTTGAAGACGAATAGCTTGCGAGATAGCAAATTGCTGCTTTTTATGTGTTTTCGATAATCTTTTTGTGCCTTTTGACGATTATTGCAGAGTTTCCAACCCATCAGAAACGATTGCAACTTCTATTTTTTGAGAATGCTTTATATCGGCATTAAGCTCCCCAAGACCATAGTGATGTAGGACTGAAATATACACCTTTATTTATTATCCACTGAATGAAATTTTTGAGCTATCAGCCCATATAAGGCAATCATAACTAACTCCTACTTACCCCCACAATACGGCTCCACACTTAATCCTCGCGCATGCTCCAAAGCTGTCATCAGGACGTGCATCTTCCCGATACTCATTGAGTAGGCAACATTTTTTTAAATGGCGTGTAATTCGCCTCTTATTAGCATAATAATCCACCCACAAGTGTTTGATCTGATCGTTGCACTCGGCGTTGTAGATGGAGCAGCTCTTGATGCAGTCTTGGAACCGCCTAAAATTCTCCTCCTCTTCCGTGCTAAAGAATGCATCCACCTCGAGAAGTGTGATTAGAAAAAGAGCTAGAATGCAACGGCACATCACTGTTGCCCACAGTACACGAAGCTTCTGATTATTATAGAATGGTATTTATACTCGTCGAGATGATGTTTTGTCGGTTTCGGTGACAGGCGAATTCTCTCACCTCAACATTTATGCCTGGTGTCAACTCAGGCGATTGTGTTTACATTGAATGAAAATGGAAAACAGCAACAACAAAACTGTCGTGGCTATCATGATTGGTAAACGCTTGACATGCTTCAAGCTTGTTGCTCTCATTTTAGTAAAGATAAATAAATGAGCCACTGAGAGTTGTGAACACATTTGTGTTCTTATGAAGATTCAATGCTTTTGTTAATAGGCACTTCTACTTGTGCGGTTATTTTAAATATGCGCGAATGTTCGCAACACTTTAACATAACATACACAATGCGCCTGGAAAATCAGCAAGATGGGAACCTCGGCCTGTGCCATAAACGAGGAGGTTCCGCAGAAATTGATCTACATTTTTTTAATGAAATGGCAAAAGTGAAGTGTTTTAAAAATATAAGCAATCTTGACTACTTCAGGCCTCTCAAAAATGCTTCTTCGCTTTCCCTGCACCAAAAGATTGGCATAAGCATTTGAAGTGAAAAGGACGAGCACTAATGCTTGAAGATCTTGCTGTCGACTGCAAGGTAGAAGCACTTTTGTTAGGGAGAGCCTTTCGGATAGCAGCAATAAGAAGAGCCCAAATGAGTAATGCTTTGAATGTGTCTAAGCGCCAATTTTGGCAGTCTGTTTGCATGGAGCCTCCCACTGAGGCTACATCGGATGCGTTGACGTGTCTACAGCACAAAATCTGCTCAGGCGTCTTGCCTAACTGGTTTCAGGTGTAAGACAGGGCTCTCAGTGCGACAGAAAAGCCTTTATTGCTGGTTATTAATGCAGTGCACACTTGTTACCTGCCATAAAACCATCTCGCAATTGCCAATCAGTAGAATGTCACCCTTTAACATCTCAATCCCTGAAAACTAGACATTAGCAAAACAACTCCTAAGGCCATAAAACATAGATTCGGCGTCTTTTGGTCTTCAGCTAGCGCACTGAATCATAAAACACGACTCGCAAGACAACGTTGTTGTAAATAGGTCCGCCCGGTTATTAAATGTGTAATGGACGTGCGTCCTGAATGTTGACAGCGCCAAGAAACCAACATGGAGGATGTAGTTGCAATACTTCGTTTACTCTACTGGGTGCTGAACTGGTGAGTCAATTTGGCGTTCATCTTCCTTTTGCTTGGCGGGCTGGCCTATGGACAAGGCCACGTCTTTCTCTTCTCTCTGAATCCAAGTATTCAGCTCTAACGAATATTTTCAATAAACTAATAGAATGTAAGTAGTCGGTTTACATGCGCCTTCTCCCAGGCCACAAACAGGAAGTAAAATGATGTGTTAAATACACAGAGCACTTTGTAATACTGCCATCTGCATGAGTAAGAGCCACTTTCGGTGGTTATTTGGCTTCTGCCATGCAGCTTGCCTATGGGCCAGGCCATGGACTTACATCTCGCCACTCAGCCTCACAAAAACAAGTATTAATGCACACCTCAAATCTTCCATTGTCAAGTGGTTTGACTCGAGTCGTTACATTTTCGACACCCAGACAATAAAATATTGTTTTTAACCCTAACGTCTATGCAGTGTGCAATGCTTAGTGTATGTGACTACCTGATGTTTGGCGGTCACTTTTGAATTTGTATGGCCGCTGTACAAGTTGGCTGGCCTTTGGGCCACGCTCAGGCCCCATTTGCCCTGTCGGGTTCGCAATACATGTATTCGACCTCACTTATGCCTTCTTCCATCTTATGGGAAGCCGTGAAACGATACACAGTGCAGCATCGCACAATTTTTTTAGTCTGCTAGATAATAAAACTACCTAAATTAAAATACACACTGTAATGCAATCCAACCAGCAAAGGAATTCTACATCATGGTGGAGAAATTCAAGGTTAATAAGAGTATTTTTGCGTTGTGCACCGGTAAACATGAGCTATGCATGCGTAGAAGGAAGTCTGACTCTATCGAAGTGCAGTAGATGAAGATACAGGCGAAAGACGGACGCGAATTAAAGGAGACGCATTTACATTGGTGACGGACAATCTTTGAGTCCTTCACAATGAAAGGATTCGGACTGACGTCTGCATTTGATTTCAACTTATTCCCGTGTTCCACAGACAAACTATTGACAGCTAAAGCGACACCACCATGAGCCATATGGAAATGAATCGTGTTGGAAGTTCTCACACGAATTCCGTGTTTAGGTTCCGAAATGACGCTCCGGTTCTCCTCGCATATGGGACAGCGGTTCATCCCGTTTTCTCCGTAACATGTCTGTTGTAGAGCAAAGTTCCACCGTCTATCCCGGGGAGCAACTGATGGTCAAGAGGTGTATGCGACTCCGAATTTGGTTGTCAGACCAAACGCAACTCCAGATCCAGCTGAAGCTGCCGAGAAGACCAGGTAGGGTTCCTCAGTCTCTTGTTGACTTCTTGTAGTACCGAATATGTTGTGATGTCTGACGTGGGAGGTGCACCAAAGGGGACCGCCGAAGATGCCTCTCAAAAGAAGAGAGGGGCAGTGTAATGTTTTGTTTATGTGACTGCATGACGTTTGGTGGTCGCTTTAGCATTTGTCTGGTCCTCGTACACGTAGTCTGGCCCCATTTGTCCTGTCGTCTTCGGAATACATGTATTCAACCCTATGAGAAGCCTTGGGACGTTACACAATCACTTAATTTTAACGACAAAAAATGGGTAGCGACCACTAAGGAAGCATTAATAAACACCCTCTACGTAAGTCTGTAATATATATTAGTTGGTTTAAGTGGACTTTTAGAGGTGAGAGGTGGAAATCAATCGTGAACGGGAATCACATGCAGGAACTCAGCGAGGAGCCCCCCTCTGATTGATATCCCTAACTCTGCTCATCTGTATCACATTTCCATCCTTCCTAACAGCTATGCCTAATAAAGCCTCCGCAACCAACATCCTCTTGAAATCTGAGGACCCAGGACCAGAGGGAAGACATATGGTCTCTACGAGGTCTTATAAATCTTGATTCAACTTAAAGTATGTATGCTGATTAAAAAATACTGACACCAAAAAAACAGTTTTATTATTTTTTGTGCCCTATTTGCTCATGCGTTATGCCCCTGACATTAAATTTTAGACTATTTCTAGAGAGTTAATAATGGTTTATGAAGAAAACTTGTAAAAGTGTCTTTCTTAATAGCATATAATCACAGAGTTTTAATTCCAAAATGTGCGGATTCTAGGCATGTAAATGTAACATAATGCGTCTTAAATAAATTTTTTTAATCTGTACAATTACATGAAAAGGAAGCACCGTAGTCCTAAAGTCAATGCCGCCAAATCTCATGACAAATGCAAAAAATGAAAAGCAAAACAACGTCATCAGTAATTGTAACCTGGCTTTGTAACATTTTGCGAGGTAAAGGTCAAAGTCAAGGCCATTGTGTGTATGAGAGAACCGTTAATATTTGCGAAAACGGCAATATGCGATCTTATGGTCCTAATGCACCACCAAAGCCATCTTCAGCCTTTAATTTATACATGCGATACCGTTCTAGTCAATCAAGTGACCTGAATTCGCGGCCCTTTAATGAACGTCGCCGTATAATCAGCGTCGAATGGTCATCTCTACCTCAAGAACAAAAGGAAATATATTATAAGCAAGCCATTGTAGAACGAACAAAGTATGAGGAGGTGTTTGCCGAGTACAAGAAGACAGAGGAATATAAAAGGTGGCTAGCTAGGCAGGAATATAAAAAGTCACTGCAACGAAAGAAAAATGGCAAGTCTTCGAAAGAAATCCACGATGATATCGACAGTTTTGATGATGAATACTCTTCTAAATTCCGTAGAATTCCCATATTTACCCATGAGTTTCTTGAATATAATAGAGAGCGGGAGATGTCACTCCGCCATATCAGGAAACAGGTTCGTTTCTTCCCATTTTGCAATCCTTTTAGCAATGATCTACGCTTGATTCTGCCTAATTTTTACAAGCATTTTTCTCCTACCTCTATTTAGGTCACTAAATTAGATGAGGAAACTGCCTTGCTGCGTGAGCACGTCAACAATCTTGCTAGCGCTGAAACGTCTTTGGAGCAACAGATCAAGCAAGCTGAAGCTACTTTGGCCTCCGAGGAAAACGTCCTAGTTAAGCTCAACAAGGAGCTGGTCGCTACGTTTTCGGATGTAAGCCTCTCTTGCCACCGTACGAGAATCCATCCATAAACTGATATGCCTGGTCTCTTACAGCTTCCAGTACCTAACTCAGACAACTCAGCCCGATCACCCAACAAAGGCGGCGAAAGGATCAACCCCAATAACGTCGAATCCTACCTGTCCAGACTAGCTGAGTTGATAAGCTCCGGGCACCACGAACCCCTAAAGGCCAAAGCTCGAGAACGCTTGAAGGCCGCAATGCAATGTGGCACGCTCTCCATGTACTCCATCTAGATTTTTATTACATTGCTATCCATTTGCCACTTTGAGTTTAGTATCATTGCAAAGTCGATTAGCACCGCAGAATGTAATGCGAGGCAGATGTATTGGATGTAGTCGTACAACAAGTACTTCAACTAAAGTCAAAACACAGGAAATGTATATACATAGGAGGAAGGAAGAAGAACAAATGAAGCTTTCCAGTTCCAGTGAGCCAATGGAAAGGTGAGGTAGGAGGCCTTCATTATAGTATGTAAACACGCTTTGCTTCGCTTGCATCAAATGTCTCGCCTGATCTTGGACATGTCAGCTTGCCGTCAGGTCTCGTCAAGTCTGATATGCCCTGAAAGTGAAAACACACCGACGTTTAGCGTTGATTCGCACAATCCTCAGAATTTAAATGACAAACTCCCTGCTCATTAATTCCAAGAAGAAAATAGGCTTCAAAATATCTGCGCAGGCAGCGTCTACCAGCAGTGCTAATGATTTTGGCAATGTTACCCAGCGCGAAACTACGCGATTCTGCGTCGAATTCCTCTTCCCGCTAACAGCGAACAAGAAGTGATTGAAATGTGCGGCAAAAAATGGCCATGCTAGCATCCAAGTGGTCTAAAGCTAAAGCATATGGAGAGGAAACGACTGGAAGCGCTCGAACAAGTGCCACAATGTGTATTAACATGATGAGGTTAATGAGACCATCTAATGCTGTGCAGACGTGCCTCCACCTAGCAATCAAAATAATAAAGTAGTTTTAAAGAAATCCCCAAATTTAACGCCGCTACATGCTTGAGAAGGCAGATATCGAGGTGGCATTCTGATCAAATAGGTTAGATTGCGGCCAACGTGATGACTACCGCGCACGTTTCAGAGCTTCTAGTACTATACTGGTTCCACAATGAAACGAGCGCGACAATGACTGGCTTATTGTGACTTTAGAGAGCAGTGTTGTGATATAACAAGCAAGATATCCACTGCACATCGCTCTTTCATGTGATTACCTGTTGACTGTAAACGTAGCCGTTCGGCAGTGCCATGGGTGGATTGTCATCATTCATGGCAAGGCCTGTTTGATAGCACGTGAGCACTGAGTGATCGTAGCGTCCGAAGAGAAGGTTTTGAGCGAAGCGATTAATGAGTGGGTGACAAACCACACAGTCCGGGTGTCGTGACTTTGAATTATAACAGAAGCTAAGGGAGTAAAAAAAATGCTTTAGAAGACAGCATTGACTGACTAAAACAAAAATGGACAAGCAGGTCTGATCAATTTAATGCAGTTAAATGAAGTGAAGCATCTGATGTTAATCGTTTGGAAAATCAAGCTAAGAGTCAAGTAACATGAGTTCAAGGGACATGGGTTTAAAAAAACTTACTGAGTCTTTATGGCAGTAATTCCTGCACGAACTGCCAACGAGAAAGGCGTGGGTGAAGTGAAGGAATAGAAATTCATCAGAGCTAGATGGAAACGCTTGATAATCCATGCCTCGTTGAGCTCATTCTGTGCCTGAAGGAAAAGAGGAAAGAGAATTTAACGTATCACAAACATTTGACAGGCTAAACTATAATTCAAGCTAGAGGGCACTAGCCCAGTCAGGTTGTGGATAAGAGATAGCTCACAGCTTTCGCATCGACTTCCTCGGACGTGCGCATAATAAGAAGCAGCATCGCTTGACCCAAACGCCGAGTTTTGTAGTCATCGTCTTGTTGGAAATTACCCAAATACTTGCGTGAGTGCCTGAACAAAAAAGAAAACAAAAAGAGTAAACACCGAGTTTTCGGTAGAGTATGGGGGTGACAAACATGTCTAGTTTTCTATTTTTGGGCAGAATTTAAAGGCCACCAACGATACTATAGGCGCGTGTAGTACTCAACCGGCAACACACGAACCCCAACGAACGGAGAGGGGAAATGAACGGCGAAAGAGAGGCTAAGGACCAGATCAATCCTCCAACTTACAAGTTCAAGAGCCACAGTGAAGTACGGTAATAACATGCACCAATTTTGGTATCACTAAATTATTAGGCCATTTTGATAAATGGTTCAACACTGAAAATATCACCAAATGGCTCAACAATATCCAGGTGGTGTTGGGACAGCCCCACCCTCACAATGTGGTTCAATATTCAGCAGAGAATTTAAGCCACCCAAAAGCATAGCAATGAGCCTAGTTAAAGTGTTAATTGCAAAAATTCCAGTTGTTTAACAACCATAATAGATTAGGATTTTCTACTGCTTGTGAGTCTCGGCTGAGATAATACAAACACTAGAAATGATGAGGGTCACTCAGGTTGAGAGGAACTACCACACTCTTTGAGTGATCAATGCATCAGCAAAAAGAGGGGAGAGTAAATCAACTACTACATCTGCGTTAACGTCTAGTAAATAAGCATGGAGCATGCGTCCCCCATTTTAGTTGTAATGCACTGAAGTGGACACAAAATAGGTGAAATTTAAAACAGATGGTCTACACCTAAAAATTAAGAAAATTAATGTGGAGTACTCTTACAGTATATGGGATGCAGCACCGCAGACAAGAAGCAAGCCTATAACCCAAGGTTAAAACTTACTGTACAGCTTCCAGTCTTTTGTTTGCCTTGACAAGAAGATAAAACTCGAACACGCGTAAGTCGAAATCGAAAGTGCACTGAAAGAAGCAGGTAAAATATTTTGTACATACTCATTAAAAAGAAGTTGGTGGAGAGCTATTGAATACTCAAAAAGCAAGCCATACCAAGAATGAACCATGCTGAAATAAGAAAGCAGTTCATGAGTATATAGTAGTACGTTAATTTTTATTGCATCAAAAAGTAGAATTTGCAAAAGTACTCCATTGACCACAAAAACCTCCGATGAAGAATGGAAGAATAGTGGTTTAGAATGCGATAATTAATAAGTTCGGATGGAATAAACTCTATTAGAGCTTGTTCAAGAAATGTCCAAACTGCTAATTTAAATACTTCAAACCTGAAACACACTAATAAAAATAATCACGAGAACTTAGAAAGGTTGCATCCACAGAGTATTGCGATGTCAACAAGACAGTATATAACACATAGAACAAAGAAGACAATGAGTTCGGACGTAACAAAGGACATACCTCCGCGTGTTTCAGTCTGAATTTGGTCTCCTGAAACCACTTATGCGCAGGCTCCGTATCACCCCTAGACAGAGCCTCCTGGATGGAAAGAGCCTCTTCGAAAATGCCAATGAAAATCTTGTCCGCATCAGGACACTGACGCGCTAGAGCTAGGGCCGAACGATAATGGCCCACGGCAAAGAGATGTTCAGCCAAGAGACGATTGCACCGTGATGCAAACACTCGTTGTTCAGATTCGGCTTTTGGTGAAATGTTGACCTTTGGTTGATTTGATGGCTTATTTCCTCTTTCGGTGACAACACTCTCTACCTGATCGGCAGCAAGCATTGCAGTACCTAGTAATGAGAGAAAATGCACTTTTATAAAATAAATTCCATGAACGACTTAGCCCATTACAATATTGAAGAAAGACCTATAGCCAAGGAAATACCTAGACCACATGGTTTTGATGAGGCTTTTCCTTCAAAATCAGAGACTTCTTTGAGACTATCGATTCGCCTCTTGCAGGAAGCAACAAGCTCCATTTCTTCAGTAAATATTTCATCAGCCTGATATCAGCGACCAAATGAAGTAATACCTTTCGTTTTGAGCCCCGAACAGCAGTTATCACGCGTCCAATGAATTCAGCAGCTTCCTCTGATGTATTAACGTCGTTGAACCTATCAATGATACGATTTAAATTGGCACTGTGTTTCTCCAGTTCTCGGTGATTCACTCTATACTTCTTATTCAAGAGCTCATACACGGCCTGATAGTTATTTTAAAAGCATGTGTTTACCTTCATTCCCATGTACTCTGTAAGCTCTATTTCACTACATGACGCAGCAGACGCCATCTTCGGCAAATCTTTCAATTTGGTAAGGCGAACCACCGAAGCCAAAGCGTAATGGCTGGAATGTGCTGCGAACAAGAGCAACAAAATATAACAAAAAATTGATTAATGAAGGCAGTTGTTGCAACTACGCCTGGTTTATGCTATTATCACATTGATTTTCAAAAAAACGAGAACAAATATATAAATATTAATGCCAATCCTTCGAACAGAATTTATTTGGTTTAATTTACTAGGAAATGTACTATCATTGTTTATCTTACAGTGATTATTCAATTGCAAGCCGTCCTTTTCGACGATGAGTATCGCAACATTAATTGCCGCATTTGCGGTATGCTCCTCGAAACCCCATATCTGGTATTAGCGACAATGATCCTAGCTAGAACTTGCATCTAGACGGAAGGGACGGAAATAGGGCTTTAGACGCTCAAGGAGTCCAGCTTAAACCTCGGACGATAATACTCTCATGATGTTCTCACAAACGGAAAGATGAATAACAGGTTACTATACATATTATCTTATCATCGCTTGACTGTCGCCTTACAAATTACAACAGCTGAACTATTAAGCAGGCATTACCGAAGCTCTCTAGGTATCTCGACCTAAAAGCCATAACTTTAACATTGGTTTGCTCTGGAACCATTTCCTTCATGAGCGCTATATGAAGGCTTAGGTTCCCATTGTGCTTTGCTTACACAAGTGGTGAGTGTAGCATTCCGAGACTTCCCATTTGGTATATGTAGACTTTTGAGAAGGGCTGAATAAAAATTTCAAGTAGAAACCGTGATAGATTGATCTTAGATCTAGCAAAAATGTCTGCTTAGGCGTACAAGAACAAGACAAACAATAACGTGACCTTACATGGACACAGCTCCACAGTATTTGATAAGTATGTTGCTAAGCGTAGCGGTTCGCTTATTTGACGACCTATATGTGTCATACTTTGTTAACGTGATGAATTTGGTGTCTGTTGATACCTTAAGTTTTGTCTGACCCTTGTACACGTGTGCTGGTCCTTTTCTTTTCTTTTTCCTTCCTTGGGGGGAAGTCATAAGACGCTACGCTGTTGGCAGCGGGGGTCAAACCCGATTTCGACGACTTCAATCCGCGTATCTGCCGCTTTTGCATGTGTCCACAATGTGGAGGAGGCGCATTTTTATTGGAACAGGAGGATTTCTGAATTTTTATACAAAGTTGTTGAGAATGGTGTCTGCATTTTGTTTCACCTTGTCCTCGCGTTCTACCGATAAGCTATCAATAACGGGAGCGGCACCGCTTTAAAGTATCTGAAAAGTTTCGAGTCGGTGATTACAACACCGATATTCTTACATGCGGGCCGTGTCTTATTCCGTATTCCATGTAACTCGCTTGTTTTAGATTAGTTTTACCATCTAGCCCCGGAGCAACTGATGGCTAGCAGACGCATTCGATCCAGATTCTGGCTGTCTGACCGAACATAATTTTAGGTCCATTTGATGGTGCTGGGGAGACAAAGTCTCATGGTAGCTGTTGGATGAGGTAGCTGCCTCGTGGGTGCTTTCGTGCAGTACCGAATATGTTGTGATGGCTGATGCGGGAGGTGTACCAAAAGGACTGTCGAGGGCGTGGCTCAAAGGAAATGAGTGGCAGTGTGACTACCTTATATCCAGCGGCAACTTTGATATTCTTCTAACTCCTGTACCCGTGGGCTGGCCATCGGGCCAAGCTCAAGCTTAATCTCTTTCCTCGACCTAGAATACATCATTTGGCTCCACTTAATGCCTTCTTCTACCCAATGTTGTCATTTGTGTATGCATTTAGGCCAGTCCAAAGCCTCGCTTCCATCTCTTGTACCAGAATTAAATGATTAACCAAATCTGCAACAACAGTTACATAATTTCGATCGATTTTACATCAACCATTAGTTAATTGGCTATCTCCATTACCATGGCAACTTTGCATCCACCTTCCTCCTATCTGCATGGGCTGACCTTTGGGTCAAGCCAAAGCCCAATTTCACCTCCAACCGCCATGATTACATCTATTCGGTCCTACCTAATGCCCTTTACCAAATGAAAGTCTCCAGGCCTCACATGTCCAACCCTCGATCTAACTAAACAAGAACTATTTTTGTGCCTTTCCCCTCTCTGTGTCCACCATTATGTTTCTGCCTTTGTTCCATGCTAAAGGCCCATGTCTACATTTTCTGCCTAACTGTCTGCATTTAGCCGGGTCTTATAACTTCTGTGCCTAACAGAGAAGGCTGGAGACACCGAGCCCCACCCTCACGGCATTGTGCATTTTCCCCATGTGAAAACTACTAACAGCCCTTAAGCTGTGGCTTAAAAGGGTTTTTACCTCTAGAAACTGCACATTAATGAAGATTGCAGATGTGGAATACACATTTTGGTAGCAAATCTGTTACGCCGATTAATAGGTGGCCGATTTGGCGTCTACATTACTCCTGCAAGGATTTACGGTCGTATGGTCGTTTCATTCCCCTCTCTATGGTTACATGTGTTGCCCAAGATTTGGGCTTCCTGCCACCTTAGGAGGGGAGTTGAGGAGCCGTTCCATTACTTTCCTTTCAGAATCATGTGGACATTACTTCCGTAATTAAAAGGCGCACACTTTATAGCAGATTTAATCATATCATTAAAGGGGGTTCAACACAGCACAGGATCATAAAGATGCCTAGAAAGGCGGAACCGACGCGTACAGCATTGCAGCCTTTCTGGAGACTTCGTATTTGGTGGTAGAAGACCTTGGGCTTGGCTAAACAAATATTATTAGATCAAACAAAACAAGGCGGAGTTTCAGCATCATCTGAAGACCAAACCCACGGGCATTAGCAGCATGATTGCAGAGCGACTGTCACTTATTTTAAACAGTCAAACAAGCAGAGCATTGTAAATAAGCTTTTGGAGTGTTTTAGTTGCTTAATGACTGTTTTTGTAATTGCGATACATTGCTTAGGTGATTAGTTGCTTGAAGAAAGAGCCATGGCATGCTTCCTTGCTTCTTCTCCTTGTTTGAACAAATTTAAGTCCACGAAATCCCTTCTCGTACCCTGTGGGTAATACTGCAATGCTACATGGGTGGCAGTTGTAAGATAACCCGATAATGTTACTACATCGGTGATGGTTTTCACCGTTCGTGTGACTGAAATGCGTTCTTAGGGCGAGTGATTTTCCTAATTCTTTAGGGGAAAAGGAATGCAAAAGCTGCCACTAGGAGGCATCCTATAAAAGCGCCGTTTTGGAATGTCTTGTACTGCAGTTGTTTGCAGGTGCCGACGATGTCACTATGGGGCCGTATTCGTAGCATCCCAAGACTGTGCATTAGGTAAAGGAGGAATTTTAAAGGAAAAAAATCAAGCTTGAGTTAGGATTGAAGGCCAGATCAGTCCGACAAGGGTGAGACGAATAATAAATTTGCTGTCAGACATCAGGTGGGCACATAAACATAGCAATAAAGCATTTAACCCGATCGTTCCTCTTTTACGCATGTGTTTTAATCAGTGCCACACTTTTGCTATTATGACACAATTACTGGTCACCAAAAGTATGCATAAATTAGTTCTGCTCTCAGACCAAAATAGCTCTGAATCAATTTGAAGCTGCTAAGAAGATTTTGTGGAAACCATCAGTTTCATGACTGCCAATGATTGTGGTGTTCGGCTCAAAGATGTTTCCTTCTAGTACCGGAATATTTTGGTGGATGACGCTGCAACGCTGTCAAGATGAATAGTGGTGCATTATTATAACATATTTACGTTGTCCCCCTATATGAAAGGCGGTAACATTGGTATTTATCTTCCAAATGTTTGGGGATGCAGACCTTCGAGCTGATAATAAACCATATTTTTACCATTTCCTCCTTAAATATATAGTTAGCCCACATCGATTTTTTACTTGATAAAT